TGTGGTGTTTTGCAGATTCTACATTATTCTTTAGCGTTGCATAGTATTCCATTGTGTGTATGTACCATAGTTTGGTTATCCATTCTTCTGTTGATGGACACCTAAGTTGTTTCCATATTTTGGCTATTGATGATGAACATGGGTGTGCATATATCTGTTCTTGTCCTGGCTCTCACTTCTCTAGGATATATACCTAGTAATGGAATGGCGGGGTCAAATGGTATTTCTAATCCCAACTTTTTAAGGAATCACCATGCTGCTTTCCACAGTGGTTGTATCATTTGACAGTCCCACCAGCAGTGTATGAGAGTCTCAATCTCTCTGTAACCTCACCAGCATTTGTTATTTTCTGTCTTGTTGAACTTTGCCATTAGTTGTGGGGCGAGATGGTATCTCATTGTTGTTTTGATTTGCATCTCTCTGATGGCTAATGATTGTGAGCATTTCTTCATATATTTGTTGGCTGCCTGAATATCCTCTTTGGTGAAGTGTCTAAATTCATGTCTTCTGCCCATTTTTTAATTGGATTGTTAATCTTTTTGTTGTTGAGGTGTTGGAGTTTTCTATAAATTTTAGAGATAAATCCCTTGTCAGATACGTCACTGCTGAATATGTTTTTCCCAATTTGTAGTTTCTCTTTTTACTCTTTTGGAGAACATAAAACTCTTTGGAAGCACATAAAAATTTAATTTTTAGAAGGTCCTATTCATCTAGTTTGTCTTCAGCTGTTTGTGCATTTTGGGTTATGTTCGACAGTCTACTTATGCCATAAATTAGGGCCCCTAAATTTGCCCCTAGTTTTTCCTTGAGGAATTCTATAGTTTTAAGCTTCATATTTAAGTCTTTGACCCATCTGAAGTTAGTTTTTTTGTGTATGGTGTGAGGGACGGATCCTGTTTCATTTTTCTACAAATGATATCCAGTTTTGCAGCACCATTTGTTAAAGAGACCATCTCTTCCCCATTTAATGGATTTCAGCCTTTTGTCAAAAATCAGCTGACCATAGGTCAATGTGGCTCAAATCAAAGAATACCAGAAAGATGTTTAGTTGTGTTTTATTGACTATGCAAAAGCATTCAATCGTGTGGATCATAACAAATTGTGGATAACATTGAGAAGAATGGGAATTCCAGAACACTTAATTGTACTCATGAGGAACCTGTACATAGACCAGGAGGCTGTCGTTCAAACAGAACAAGGGCTTGCATGGTTTAAAATCAAGAAGGGAATGCATCAGGGTTGTATCCTTTCACCATACTTATTCATTCTATATGCTGAGCAAATAATCTGAGAAGCTGGACTATATGAAGAAGAACATGTCATCAGGATTGGAGGAAGAATCATTAACAACCTGTGATACACTGATGACACAACTTTGCTTGCTGAAAGTGAGGATGATTTGAAGCACTTACTGATGTGCTGCAGTAAGGATTACTTCTCAATATAAAGAAAACAAAAATCCTCACAACTGGACCTATAAGCAGCATCACGATAAATGGAGAGAAGATTGAAGTTGTCAAAGAATTCACATTGCTTGGTTCTAAAACCAACACCAAAGGAAGCAGCAGTCAGGACATCAGATGACGTATAGCACTGGGAAAGTCAAAGTCAGCTGCAAAGGACCTCTTTCAAGTGCTGAGGAGAAAAGATGTCTCCTTGAGGACTAAGGTGTGCCTGACACAAGCCACCTTTTTTTGCTGTTCTTTTTCTAATTGTTGGAGATGTTGGGCTAAGGTGTTGATTTTGGCTCTTTCTTCTTTTTTGATGTGTGCATTTATTATTATAAATTGCCTTCTGATCACTGTTTTTGCTGTGTCCTAAAGATTTTGGTATATTGTTTCCATTCCCATTTGATTCAAGGAATTTTTTAATTTCTTTTTTTCTATTACCCAGTCATCTCCAAGGAGGGTGTTTTTCAGTTTCCATGTGTGTTTGCTCTTTTTCACTTCATCTTCCTCTTGCTGATTTCTAATTTTATGGCAGTGTGATTCATTTACTATTTTTCCCATAGAATCTTTTAATGTTGCAACTTGAGGCTTGAATTTTCTCTTCAGTTCTTTCAGCTTGAGAAATGTTGAGTATGTTCTTCCCTTTTGGTTTTCTAACTCCAGGTCTTTGCACATTTCATTATTATAATTGACTTTGTCTTTTCAAGCTGCTCTTTGAAATCTTCTGTTCAGCACTTTTATCTTGTAATTTCTTCCATTTGCTTTAGCAATGGAATGGAGCAAGTTTCAGAGTCTCTTCTGACATTCATTTTGGTCTTTTCTTCCTTTCCTGTCTTTTCAATGACCTTTTGCTTTCTTCAAGGGTGATGTTCTTGATGTCATCCCACAATTCGTATGGTTTCTGGTCATTGGTATTCAATGAATCAAATCTATTCTTCAGATGGTCTCTAAATTCAGGAGGGATACAGTCAAGGTCATATTTTGGTTCTCCTGGACTTGTTTTAATTGGTTTCAGCTTCAATTTGAACTTGCATATGAGCAGTTGATGGTCTGTTCCACAGTCAGTTCCTGGCCTTGTTTAGGCTGAAGATATTGAGCTTCTCCATCACCTCTTGCCACAGATGGAATGGATCTGATTCCTGTGTATTCATCTGGTGAGGTCCATGTGTATAGCTGCCATTTGTGTTGTTGAAAAAAAAGGCATTTACAATTAATAAGTCGGCCTTGCAAAATCTTATCATGCAATCTCCAGCATCATTTCTATCACCAAAGCCGTATTTTCCAACTACCAGTGATTCTTCTTTGTTTCCAAATTTTGCATTCCAATCACCAGCAATAATCAATATATCTTGAGTGGATGTTTGGTCAATTTCAGACTGCAGAAGTTAGTAAAAATATTCCATTTACTTGTCTTTGTCTTTGGTGGTTGTTGTGTGAATTTGAATAATAGTAGTATTAATTGCTATTCTTTGTAGGTGTATGGATATTACTCTATCACTGACAGCATTGTACTTCAGGATAGATCTTGAAACATTGTTTGTGGCTATATATGCGACACCATTCGTCTTCAATTTGTCATTCCTGACATACTAGATCATATGGTTGTCCAATTCAAAATGGGCAAAACCAGTCCATTTGATCTCACTAATGCCTGGGATATCAATCTTTATGAGTTCCATTTCATTTTTGACAACTTCCAATTTTCCTAGATTCATTCTTCATACATTCCATGGTCTGGTTATCAATGTATGTTTGCAGCTGTTTCTTCCCATTTTGAGTCATGCCATGTCAGCAAATGGAGGTCCCTAAAGCTTTACTCCATCCACATCATTAAAGTCAACTCTTTGAGGAAGCAGTTCTTCCCCAGGTATATTTTGAGTGCCTTCCAAACTGAGGGGCTCCTCTCCTGGCACTATATCAGACAAAGTTTCAGGGCTATTAAAAAGTTTTCCAGTAACATATGAGACAATGTTTCACTGGTATTTATAAGGTTTTCACTGGCCTATACCTTGAGAAGTGGATGGTCCCTTCCTTCTTCCATGTCTTTTCTAGTCTGGAAGCTCCACTGAAACCTGTCCACCATGGATGACCCTGCTTGTATTTGAAATACCAGTAGTACAGTCTCCAGCCTCACATTAATACACACAAGACACCACAGTACAACAAATTGACAGATGAATGGTGGTAAGCTCTGAAAGCTCTGGTGGCATAATGAGTAAGGCATTTGACTACTAACCAGGAGGTCAGTGGTTCAAACCCACCAGCTGCTCTGGGGAAGGAAGATGAAGTAATATACTTCCGTAAAGCCTTGCAAACCCAATGGAGGTCGCTATGAGTCAGAATCGACTCAATAGCAGCAGGAATAATCTATATTAGGGATGGTATTATGATCTGAATTGTGTGCTCCAAAAATATGTAGCTATGAAAGCAATCCTGTTGGGTATAATCTTTCTTGTTATGTTAATGAGACAATGCCAGGGTCTTAAACCTAATCACTTTTCAATTATATAAAGAACAGAATAGACACAGATCACATGAGGGAAGACAGACCCCAGGAATGCCACAGACCTTTCAAGGCTACCAACAAAGCGGTCCCTCCCCTAGAGCTGATCCCTGATTTGGACTTCTACCTTCTAAAACTGTGAGACAATAAATATCTGTCTTTAAAGACACCCATCTGGTGGTGCAGGGCCTAAGACATTTGACTGCTAACCAGAAGGCTGGCAGCTCAAACCCACCAGCTGTCCTGTGGAAGGAATATGGGGCAATCTACTTGTGTAAAAACGTAATGCCTCAGAAATCCAATGAGGGTCACTATGAGTCAGAATCAACTTGATGGCAGCGAGTTTGGTTTTTTGGTTTTTAGGTAATTAAGACAAATGGGGAGCCTATTTTTCTTTATCAAGGCTATAGTGTATACACACACACACACACACACGAAGAGTCATAAATCAAAAGCAACCAATTTAGAGAAAAAATGGATTATACATCAGGATGGTCTAAAATGAAGACTGCATACACAAAAGATTCTATTCGGTAATAACCATGACATATTTTATCTCACACTTTTCAAAGCAGAGTCTAACAAAAAATGATAACATGGATATATTTCAAAACCCTGTGGTTTTCATTTTTTACATATCTTTTTAAACTTACTAAACAGAAGAAAGTAAGGCATTATCAGAATTTTCTATGAAAGGCAAGCTAATGCTCACTTAAAATTTTGTAGTATTAATGCTGCTTTTATCTTCTTGGTTTGACACCTTCTATTGGTGAAAAACTTGGTTTTTGTGCTCTAGAAAGTATGTAAGTTTACAACTTATATAATAAGTCATGTTAAAGAGAATCTGTGTCTTATGATATTTTAGAAAATTGATAAAGGGACCCTGTTGTGGTTTTTCCTAATTTCAGATATTAACAGACCCACTCTATGGCACGGATGAAACTAAGCTGACAGCTAGATCTAGTCTGCAAGGTAGATATTTCTCATTCTTGTGCCTCTATATTATACCCAGAAGAATATGTAAGCAGCCCAGTATTATTACATACCTTAAGATGCAGCAATATAAACTTGAATAATCCAAATATGACCATCCTTATCTTTCTCTTCCTGCCTACCTTCTGATGGAGGTGTCAATGAGTTGTTAAAACAGAATGGAGAAAGAGAAGCACTCTGCTCATTCACCATTTAGCAAGTAAGAGTTGACACTGATACTAGTTTTTTTTTTTTTTTAATCTATTTTGACAATGTAGAAATGGTCATATTTTCAAGTATATTGCCACTAAAATTTTACAATACTTACTCAGATGGAATATAAAGTGGCTTTTCTTTATGATATTCCAAGATAGTTAAGATGGTTTTAAATTTCATAAGCCAACTTCTAGCTCTTACATAAGTTGAAACATCATAAATACTCATGAATCTAACAAAAAGAAATATATACATATGTATTATAATAAAAAGCAAGTGCTATACTTTGGGTAACCTAAAAGGATAAGTTATACTAACTGTAAATTTAATATGAGCTTACCAAATGTGCTCAGTCCTGAGTCTCTGCACCCATCAACCTGTACAGGAACATTTTTAGTGTGGTACTCCTGCTGCCCCTTATCCTTGAATTATTCCTGATCTGAAGTAGAACACAACTAAAACTTCTCCAGACCACATCTTTGGGTCTCAGAACCAAGCTCTCTTTTGTCATGCCTTACCTAACCCACACCTCTCCAAACCCCTGAAGGTCTTGCCCTTCCCAAATTTTATCCCAAGGTGGATCCCCCCTCCCCACAGATATTGTTGATGTTAGGTGTTGTCAGTTCAGCTCCAACTCAATAGTGACCCTGTGCACAACAGAATTAAACACCACCTGGTCCTGTGCCATCCTCACACTCCTTGCTATGCTTCAGCTAATCATTGTAGCCACTGTGTCAATCCACTTCATTGAGGGTCTTCTTCTCTCACACTGACTCTTCTTTACCAAGCATGATTTCCTTCTCCAGGGAATGGTCCCTCTGACAACGTGATCAGATTAGGTGGGACAAAATCTGGTCATTCTCACTTCTAAGGAGCATTCTGGCTGCGCTTCTTCCAGGACAGACTTGTTAGTTCTTCTGGTAGTCCGTGGTATCTTCAGTATTCTTCTCCAACATCATAATTCAAAGCATCAATGCTTCTTTGGTCTTCCTCATTCATTGTCCAGCTTTCTAATGTGTACAAGGTGATTGAAAATACCACGGCCTGGGTCAGAAACACCTTAATCTTCAAAGTGACATCTTTGCTCTTTAACATTTTAAAGAGATCCCTTGCAGCAGATTTTCTCAGTGCAATATGATATCTTCTTTCTTGACTGCTGCTTCCATGGGTGGTGATTGAGGATCCAACTAAAATAAAATCCCTAAACACTTCAGTCTTTTCTTCATTTATTTTGATGTTGTCTATTGGTGCAGTTGTGAGGATCTTAGCTTTCTTTACGTTGAGGTGTAATCCATACTGAAGACTATAGTCTTTGATCTTCATCAATAAATGCTTCAAGGCATCTTCACTTTTAGCAAGCAAGGTAGTGTCATCTGCATATCGCAGGTTTATGAGTCTTCCTCTAATCCTGAAGCTGTGTTCTTCGTCATATAGTCCAGCTTCTCCGATTATTTGCTCAGCATTCAGATTGACTAAATATGGTGAAAGGATACAACCTGACACACTCCCTTCCTGATTTAAAACCATGCAGTATCCCCTTGCTCTGTTGAAGCCCCTTGGTCTATGTACAGGCTCCTCATGAGCACATTTAAGTGTTCTGAATTTCTCATTCCTCCCAATGTAATCCATAATTTGTTGTGATACATGCAGTTAAATGCCTTCATATAGTCAATAAAAACACAGGCAAATATCTTTCTGGTACTCTTTGCTTTCAGCCAAGATTCAACAGACATCAGCAATGATATCCCTTGTCCCACAGTTTCTTCTGAATCCAGCTTGAATTTCTGGAAGTTCCCTGTCAATATACTGCTGCAACTGTTTTTGAATTATCTTCAGCAATTTTTTTCTTGTGTGTGATATTAATGATATTGTTCAATAATTTCCACATCCTGTTGGATCACCTTTCTTTATAATGGGTGCAAATATGGATCTCTTCCAGTCAATTGGCCAGGTAGCTCTCTTCCAAATTTCTTGGCATAAAGGGAGCACATGTAGCACTGCAACCATTTGTTGAAACATCTCAATGAGTATTCCATCAATTCCTGGAGCCTTGTTTTTTGCCAGTTCCTTCAGTTACCTTGCACTTCTTCCATCAATACCATTGGTTCTGGATCATATGCTACCTCCTGAAATAGTTGAACATCGACCAATTCTTTTTGGTATAGTGACTCTGTATTCCTTCCATCTTCTTTTAATGCTTCCTGCCTCATTCAATATTTTCTCCCAATGAATCCTTCAGTATTGCAACTTGAGAGTTGAATTTTTTCTTCAGTTCTTGCAGCTTCAGAAATGCTGAGCATGTTCTTCTCTTTTGGTTTTCTAACTCCAGGTCTTTGCACATTTCATTATAATACTTTGTCTTCTCTAGCCTTCTTTTGAAATTTTCTATCTAGTTCTTTTATCTTGTCATTTCTTCCATCAGCTTTAGCTACTCTGTGCTCAAAAGCAAGTTTCAGAGTTTCTTCTGACATCCATTTTGGTCTTTTCTTCCTTTCCTGTCTTTTTAATGATCTTTTGTTTTCTTCATGAATGATGTTCTTGATGTCATCCCACAATTCATCTGGTTTTCATTCAGTGATGTTCGATGCAGCAAATCTATTCTTCAGATTAAATTCAGGTGGGATACAATCAAGGTCATATTTCGGCTCTTGCAGACTTCTTTTAATTGTCTTCAGCTTCAACTTGAATTTACATATGAGCAATTGCTTGTCTGTTCCATAGTCAGCTCCTGGCCTTGTTTTGGCTGAAGATATTGAGCTTTCCCATCTACTCTTTCCACAGATGTAGTTGATCTGATTTCTGTGTATTACATCTGGTGAGGTCCACATGTATAGCAGCCATTTATGTTGTGGAAAGGAGGTACCTGCAATGAATAAGTCGTTCTTGCAAAATTCTCTCATGCAATCTCCAGCTATCACTGAGGCTGTTATTTTCCAACTACCAGTGATTCTTCTTAGTTTCCAATTTTCACATTTCAATCACCAGTAATAATCAATAAATTAACATTTCAGGTGATCTATCTAAGATCTCCTAGACAGATTATCTGAAATGTTAACCTTATACAGGGAAGATCTCTTATCATTGGGCCAAGGTTGCCCCATAGTTTGTCTTGGACCATCCAGTACCTAAAGCTTACCACAACTATGATCAGACATTGTCCATTGCCATCAAGTTGATTCCAACTCATAAAAACCCTATAGGACTGAGTAGAACTGCCTCAAAATTTGTAAGGCTATAAATCTTTATTATAACAGACTGCCACATCCTTCTACCACAGAGCAGCTAGTAAGTTCAAATCGTCAAACTTTCAGTTAGCAGTAGAGCTCTTAACCACTCAGCCTCCAGGGATCACATATTACTTTATCTTTAAGGCACTGGGTTTTTCCTATCAAACTTAATTGCACTTATCAGTGGCAGTAGATCAATTGATGGGTCAATTCTCCACCTCAGGGAGATTCTCTTAGCAGGGTCCAGGTTTCCCTAACTCCTCTATCCAGTAAGTTAGTATATATGATACAAAGGTGAAATAATTTTAATACTAATTGAAACTATGTAGGTACTCTTTCATGGACCCTTCTGTCTCTTATCTAATTATACGGTGATCAGAACTTGTTCCAGAATCCCCTAATGTCATTAGGGTTATGAAACTTGAGAGAGAGAAATCAAGTAAAATAGGAAATGGATGGATGGATGGATGATTAGTTGGATGGGCAGATGGACAAACAGAAAGACAAAGGAATGGAGGATATAAATAGATGACACAGAGATTTATCAATCTGTTTAGACATTAAATTCTCATTTTTTTCTTTCTGTATCACATATTCACTTAATTTTGGAAATATAAATTGAATATTACACTTACTTTCCTCGGATGGGGCAACAGCTTTTGGTTGCACCAATTAGTATCTGGGCTGCTGCTACACTGAGGAGTCCATCATTACACTGTTTTTCAAAGCTACTCTAAACATAAAAGTTTAAATTAAAATTACAAAGGATCAAAATATAAATGTACTCTTTTTACCTCTTACACAGCCCTCACTATTATTACTGAATTCAACATATGAAAATATACTATTATAAAAAAAATTATAGCAGGAAATAAAGAATGTTAGATGCTTTTAAATTTCATTCAATCCAGTTACTCATTTTTTGCAAGTATTTTCCTGAATAATGTGGAGATACAAAGGTTCCTAGTCTCAAAAAAACTCAAAATCTAAACAACTCAGTCTTTTCTACTTCAGTAATATAAATAGCATCATAGCATCATCTTTCTTCAGCAGAATAGATTGTGCAAAGTATTACTCTAAATGTAACTTTTAATCTCAGCCCGCCAAGAACTACCAAAAGAGTAATGTGGATGTTACACTTGTGCCACTGCCCCCAAAAGGCCAGGGGAAGATCACTTTTTAGGTGCCACTGACACTAAACTCAGAGGTTAAAGTTACTTCCTGAAACTACTGCCTAAAATCCATCCTCACACATTGACCATGTATTCTTGTCTACCCATCGTTTATATATACTATCTCCAACCTATGATATATTGAGCATATTTTCTCAAGTTTTACAAGCTTAGGTATTGTAGTCACTGTAGGAAAAAGCAGCATTTACACTATTTATTTCTTGAGGCAGGAGCACATGGGCTACTCAAAAGGTTTTGCCACTAACCTAAAGGTACCAAAGAAGGTGCAGATTTCCAGGTTTATTTCTCTTACAGAGTCACTGGGTGCTTTCAAACTGACAACCTTCAGTTAGCAGCTGAGCATTTAACCATTGTGCTATCAGGGCTCTAATGCTGTGTTTATACAAGTAAGATTTTCCTTGAATGTGGTACACTAATCCTGTGAGAGATTCCTTGAAAACCCACCCCTGCAAAAAAGTGCAAGGGTCAGGAGGGAAGAATTCTGTGTACAAGGGGAAGGCTGCATTCTGTATTCCTTCTTGGAGAGTATCAAAGCACATCAAAACATTAAAAACTCTGAGATGTTCTATAAAAACCTATGTGATTTTGTTTAATCCAGTATTTCCAAAACTAATTTTAGCACCACAACTTTTTGTTTTTCATGTAGTCCCTTATTAACAGCCTGTGGAGCAAGTATTTTTTGGAATTCACTTTGGAAAATGTTGTAGACACTAAGGGACCACTGTAAGGTTTTAAGCAGGAAGCAGTGTAGTCATATCTGTCTTTTAGATGAGTCACTCTGACTTAAGAGTGGAAAAATTGGAGGCAGGGAGATCAATTAAGGGTTATTATCCAGGCAAGAGATTATGATGATTGCTCCTATGACTTGTTAGTGAAAATGTTTAAAAGCATGAAGACATAGTCTTAATATTTTGTATTAAGAATAAATATGTCATTAAAAAAGACCAGACTCACTGGTCTGATAGAGACTGGAGGAACCCTCAAGACTATCACCCTTAGACAACCTTCTAACTTGGAACTGAAGCCACTCCCAGCATCTACCTTTCAGTCAAATAATAGACTGTCAAGAAGGTGTTCCTTAGAACAGTCAACTATACGAAATCAAAAGGACAACACTTGCTCAAAAACAGAGACAAGAAGGCAGGCAGGGGCAGGGGAACTGGAGGAATGGAAATAGGGAACCCAGGGTGGAAATGAGGAGAGTGCTGACACATTCTGGGGATTGCAACCAATGACTTGGAACAATTTGTGTATGCATTATTGAATGGAAAAGTAATTTGCTGTGTAGAACTTCACCTAAATCACAAGAAAATGTTAAAAAAAAAAAAAGGAAAAAGAAAAACTATGTTCTTCAACAGAAAACTTGAAAGAAAAGAAGCAACTTATAGATTAAAAGAGACTTAAACATGTATCAGTTAATTGCAATGTGTGAACCTTATTTGAATCCAATTTGAAAATATAAAATGTGAAAATAAGTATCTCATTTATGATGGAAAAACAATTTTTTTGTGGTTCAAATCTTCCTCACTTTATAATTTATTTTTTATTGTGATTTGAGTGAAAATGTACAGAGCAAATTCATTTTCCATATAGCAGTTTATACACATTGTTTCATGACATTGACTGCAATTTCCCACAATGTAACAGCTTTCTTCTCACTTCCTCCCTATAATTACCTTCTCCCTGTGTTCTTATTTCCCATGCATTCCCACCACCACAACCCCCAGCTGTGTCCCTATGCACACACTGCCCTCCTGTTCTCCCATGATTGATCAGTCCAAGGAGTGTATCTGCCTAATGTAAATGTTCACTCCATATGTCTGTCTATTGTTTGGCTAGAACCCACAGGAGTGAGTCCTGAAGGGTAACTAGGGGCCATAGTCTCAGGAGTCTCACCAAGCTCTATCAGATCAGCAAACCTGGTCTTTTTTTATGACACTGAGTTTTGTTCCACATTGTTCTTACACTCTGTCCAGAATCTCCTGCACCAATCTCCCTCTAAGTGGTTGACAGTGGTAGCCAGGCACCATCTAGTTCTTCTGATCTCATGGTCATATAGGCTGAGGATCACCTAGTCTACTAGTCCCTTGGACTAATTGTTTCCATGTGTCTTTGGTTTTCTTCATTTTTCTTTGCTCTGGATGAGGAGACACCCATCATTGCATCTAGATGGCCGCTTCCAAGCTTTTAAGACCTAGTTGCTACTCACCAAAGTAGGACTTAGAACAATGATTTTGTGTAGTATGCTATGCCAGTTGAGCTTGATGTCCCCTGTTACAATGGTCCGAGCCTGCAGGTGCAACTACTCTCTCCCCCAAGGTAGCTGGCTGTGGCCAAGAAGTCACCACAACCTTGCCCTTGTCAGCTCTACTAGACATTCTTACAGTATATACAAATATGCATGTAGAAACTTTGTCTTCTAACCCTATACATGGTCATGGATACACTCCACCCTACCTGGACATACCTGATCATTCAGCCTGACCACCCATCTATCCACTGTAGATCAATGCTTGCCATATGATGGAAATTCTGACAATGGGAAATTTGACCACTGACTAGCTATCTGAGGTTTTTAAGGAATTATTAGTAATTTCAGGTGCAATATTTGTATTTTATTAAGTTTTTAAAGAGATAGATATTAAAATATTTACAACTGAAATAAAACAATGTCTGAAGTTTATTTCAAAATAATATAAAAGGTGGAGAGAGGTGAATGAGAGTGAAGATGGGGCAGTATTGTTCAGGTGTGGATGGTTTTAAAGACCTGGGTGATGGGCATATGAGAATTCATTGTTGCTGTTGTTATGTGCCGTCAAGTCAGACTGACTCATAGCGACCCCTCTTTGGGTTTCCAAGGCAGTATCACTACAGAAGTAGATTGCCCAACCTTCCTTCCGAGGAGTGGCTTGTGGGTTTGAACTGCCAACCTTCTGGTTAGCAGTCAAGTGCCTTAGGCACTACACCACTAGAGGTCTCGAGAATTCATTAGGCTATTCTATTTTTTCTTTTATTGCAGTGGAATTATAAAAAGATTCATCAGTTCAACAATTTCTACATGTTGTTCTGTCTACTTTTGTGTATGTTAAAAATTCTTCATAATAATAAACTTTAAATAGAAAGTAGAAAAGGACTCTGTACATATTATATATTTTATATACTTGTGATATTTAATAAAATTTATCCTATAAGAATATAACCAAATTTAAATGTGCAATTTGTTAAATAGACTTAAACGTGATTTTAACTGGCAATAGGTTTATTTGTTGTTGTTGTGTGCCATCGATTTAGAACACTTAAATATTAGTTCTAAGGGAACTTTAGATTTTCCAGACTTAAGAATTTAACTTAATATATTTACAAGAATTAATTGTGCACTTGAGAAGATTTCATTCAAAGGGAACTTGAATATATTAAATTTATAAAAGGGGTTTAAAATACTTGAAGATTTTTAATTATCTAAGTATGTAAGTGGCACTGAACATGATTCAAAGGTCACTCAAAAGTGACTGCTCAATTTTGCTAGACTTAGACTAATGTTTGTGGCTTGACTTTAAAGCCTAAGGAAGAATAAAATTCTCTTATTTTTATTTTGTCATCTTAATAAGTAAAACATTAATTTTAACAAACAATAAACTGTCAAAAGGTGAAAAAAAAAATTCTAGTCACCTGAAAACAGCATACAAGGATTAAAGGCATTGCAAGAAAATAAATAAATAAAAAGTAGGTTATGCGAAAATACCAACCATTTGTATTACAGCTACATGCAATCTGGCTTCTTCTATTAAGTCTTCATCTGTTGGGAACTTCTCCTTTTTATGTGAAACATGGGAGAACTTAACACCATCAGACTAAATTTTACAACATACAGAGATTTAAAAAAAAAAAAAAGTGAAAATGATTAGGAGCTGGTAAATGCTACACTCAACAGAGATTCCAATCACCCATATCAGAATTGCTCAGATGAAAGCCTTTCTATACCATGGATAACATTTTCCTTATATGAAATGTTGCTTTCAACTGTGATGAAGTATAAGGAGGGGTCACTATGAGTCGGGTGCGACTCAATGGTACATAACAACAACAACAACAACAAATATTCATTTGAGGAGACCTAGAAGCCAAATACTCCCCCAACCTATATGTGCTTGCCTACTCTCTGAAGCAAAAGGGGAGAGATCTCTAAGTACCTCTGCCAGCGGAAATATCAGTTTGGCAGAAGCCATTGATCATTATGCAAGCAGCCATTTTGTGAAAACACTAATTCTCCTAAAATATTCTTGCACTTGGCTGTATCACCAAGACTTTCTCTTTAGAGATAGAATCAAAAGAAGTCATTTCACCAAGATAGCTAACCCAGTAAATCTGTCTTCTCAGTTTTCTGATATTTAGTTAGCAGACTCAAATTGTGTAATAGACTAACAGCAAGACTGGCAGACCCAGGGAGGGAAAGAAAGAGTAATTTTTGCTAGGTATTATTAACTCACAGGAATGGTGTATTCAATATTGGCTTTTTCTTCTACTAGGGTCCAATTAACATTCGCCAAAATTTTCTCTGTTTTAAATAACGTTATCGTGTTCTGTATTATCTCCCGTATGTGCTCAATGGCATTTTGCATGGCTATTTGTCTCGGGAGAGAACTAGAACCCAAACCTGTGACAAAGAAAAGCAAGGTCCTTAACAGAATGAAGACAGCAGGAGGAAGCAAACTGTTGCAAGATTATGAAGTGAAGTCTTGAGATCTGCAGAGCCAAACCGGAATGCAGAGCTCTTAGACAAAGGGCAACATTTTGTCCAAAATTTTCCAAGAAATTACCCAATGATCCATTTCCTGTTGGCTGTAGAGCTCAACTTTGTCTGATTAAATTGCTAAAGAATGTTTTATTAAGTTTCTTTTCTTTCCCTATAGCTATAGACGTAATGTGCTACTTCAGGGCACCCAATCAGTACTTCTCAAAGTGTAGAAGACTTTCTGTGTCTTCCACAAGTAGAAAACTCATTACTATCAGGTCAGATCCCACTCATAGCAAGAAGGTGTACTTACGAGTTTTAAGACAAATTCTGATCATTTCTTGCTCTAAATAGATGAGGAAATTGGAGAATTGAATTTTCTGTGTACCTATAGAGACATTAGGAGCTCTGGTAGCATAGTGCCTAGGGCACTTGACTGCTCACCAGAAGGCTGGCGGTTCAAACCCACCAGCCACTCCTCGGAAGGAAGGTTGGGCAATCCTACTTCCGTAGTGATACTGCCTCGGAAACCCAAGGTGGGGGTCGCTATGAGTCGGTCCGACTGGATGGAACACAACAGCAACAACATCACTACAGAAGTAGATTGCCCAACCTTCCTTCCGAGGAGTGGCTGGTGGGTTTGAACCGCCAGCCTTCTGGTTAACAGTCAGGTGCCTTAGGCACTACACTACCAGAGCTCCCTCAATAGGTAGAAGGGCTGCTTATAAAACGAAATCCTAGGCTTCACTCCATACCTTCAGAGTCAGTGAGGATTGGAAATATACATAAGGAAATTTAAAGACCACTGCAGTAGAAAAACAAAACCAAACCAAACTCACTGCTGTGGAGTTGGATCCAACTCATAGCGACCCCTCCTTGAGTTTCTGAGATGGTATCTCTACAGAAGTAGATTGCCCAGTCTTCCTTCTGAGGAGTGGCTGGTGGGTTTGAACCACCAGCCTTCATGGTTAGCAGTCAAGTGCTTTAGGCACTATGCCACCAGAGCTCCTTCAAATTTGATATTTCTGTTTTCTGGCCAGCAAATCTATAAATCCAAACATTGTAGCATTTTTTAAAAAAAAAATTCTTGAGGTATGAATTTGAAGTTACAGCTACGAGCCTCACTTAACAAAGAGTAGAATTTAATTAGCAAATGAGTTTAGTCTACTTACTCATAACTCCATTTTGCCATGTAGCTTTGTCTTATAATAAAGAAGATTCTGAGGTTTAGTTATTACAACCAAAAATTTATAGGGAAAAAAGGGAAAGAAAAGAAAAATTACTATGATAGAAAAACCCCTGGTTGATCTTGCCTTTGAGTATCAGAGTAGGAGGAAATACAAGGGAAACCCGGACATCACATCCTAAGTCAAAGAGCAGAGAGGTCTGGACCTCTGGTAGAAAGGAAACTGGTGGAAAGGCAAGCCTTCAGGGATGAAAGTAACATCAGGAATGGTTAAGTACTCGGCTCTTAAGTGAAAGATCAGCAGTTTGAACCAAACAGCTGTTCCAGGAGAAAAGACCTGTCAGTCTGCTCCTGTAAAGACTACAGCCTAGCAAACTCTATCTGGCACTTTTAGTCTGTCACATGAGGTCGCTATGAGTCAAAATTGACTCAGCAGCACCCAATTTTACAATATTCTAGTGTAGACTTTAGTGAGAAGCCCTGGTGGTGCAATGGTTAAGCACGGGGCTGTGAATCAAAAAGGTCAGTGAGTTAAACGTCAAAGGAAAACATCTGGTGATTTTCTCCTGTAAAGTGTACAGCCGAGGAAAGCCTATAGTGAAGTTCTACTCCTGTCATATGGGGTCATGAAACAATTTGATGGCAAACCACAGCAACCACAGCAAACGACAGCAGCAGGTTTTTGCTGATTCAAACACACCTCTACACTGCAAACAAAAGCAACCTCCTAACTTGGAGAAAAGGAGAGCTGCCGAAATTGCCCCATTTACTAGCCCCACTCACACATTGGAGCCCTTGGTTTTGTGGTAGACTGTCACAGGAAGTGCTGCAATAGTGTTTATAGGGCACAGGTTCAGAAACTAGCAAGACTGCCTGAGAAGACCCAAACAGATGGATGACAGCTCTTGTAGTAGAGCAAGGCGAATTCACTGGACTATTTCCCTAAACACTACTCTTCCTTTGCCCTTAAATTATGTCCAAGAAACCTTCTGATTACTAATTTGCTATCAAGAAAACAGGTATTCAGAGGGGAATGCTCTAAATAACGGTCACAAGTATTTCAGACTGAAAAAAATTCACTGGTATTATAAACTAATGTATTGATTTTCTGGTTTATCCTTATTCTCCTTTTGAGTGCAATATATGTAAATCTCCAGAAGTCTGATCAGTTCTAGATACTCTGACAAAATCAGGTCTCTACATCAGCAAAGAGGAGGACCAGGCCATGGAATACTGTACTATACTAAGGCCCTACTATAAGACTTTATCTTACCCGTTCCAACAGCCTCCTTCCCCCCGCCCCACTGCCACCTATTATCTTATCCTTGATTTCTCAGTTGTGTATCTATTTGAAATTACATTGTATTTATGCATTTTATTATAAACACCTCAAATTTATTTTGAGAAATAACAAAATAAACAACTGTGGAAATAGACAACTGTGGTAGGGCCTGCTAATTTCCTCCCAATAGCTATTCTGTCCTTGCCTAAGGCATTCGACTACTAACCAGAAAGCTGGCAGTTCAAACCCACCAGCCACACCTCGGAAGGAAGGTTGAGCAATGTACATCTACTTCTATATTGATACTGCCTCAGAAACCCAAGGAGGGGTCACTGTGCATGGGATTTGACTCAACGGCAGTGGCAGTGAGGGTTTTTTTTTTTTTTTTTTTTGGTCCCTTTACCAACAGAATCTCCAAGTTTTGGCTGAGCACACTTCCTTTGGCTCATGGATCCCATGCGTCTAAGTTTTGGCCAATGGAACGTGAATATCAATGATACATACAACTTCTGGATTGTGTCCTTAAAGAAAGCTGTTTGTCTTCCATTGGCCATGCCCCTTTCCCACCTATCTTGGTTGGCTGGATTGTAGACATGGTGGCAGTGAGATAGCTTTAACCACACAGAAAAGGGTAGCATCCTAGAGGATGGAAAAGCAACAAAGTGAGGGAATTTTTTGTCCCTGGACAACATTGCTTGTGGAGCAAAGCCATGCTACCCTTCTGGACTTGTAAGTGAAAGAAAAAAAAGTCTTTTTTCTTATTTAGACCACTGTTTATCTGGTTTCTGTTTAACTGGCTGAACCATTTAAATCAACATCTATAAAGAATCAGTGAATGAAAATGAATGATTTCTAAATCAATTCCTTGAGCTCTATGAGAAATATCCCCATAACTCTAATATGCATAACCTATTTGCATTATTTCCCCTAGTAAATTAGTGAAAGATAGATACACTTTACCTAATGTCCTGGCAGATTGAATCATCATGTATGAATTTATTCCCATAGTCAATAATGATATCACTTGAACATAGAGTATACACTAAAAAACAAAACACACAATTAGAGCCAAAATATCATTAAGTTCTCCAAAGAAAATCATTGTTCAATTAACTACCAACAAAATTCTACCTTAAGCCACATTTTAAAGTCCTATCTCAGATAAATAGGTTGCAGCAAAATGGCTGTTTTGTGGGTACTACCTGAATCTAATACACTAGGGCAGAAATTAATTTTCAACCTGCATGAGAAAAAAATTGATTTTCTATTTTCTGTTAAGAACACTGAGAGGAAAATTCTCCCTAGCAGTCACACAAAGCCAGCAAGGTGGTAAACATCACAGTCACCATGGAGCCTGTAGGCTAAGAGAAATCCTCAGGCAGTGGTGACTATGGGTAGAACAGGGAATTGCACCTGCTGCCAGCATTTACTGGAGCTGTACACAGAAGCTCTGAAAAAGGAGGTAAGGAGTTGTGGTGGGGTCTGGGGAGGTATAGTGGAGAAGCAGAAGGACAACTACATTTGCAGGCCTTGCTTCTGCTATTCATTAGCTGTGTGATTTGGGGCCTGCAGTGTAGTAAATTACTTAGTGTGGCTTTTCTACCCATAAGTCTTTGTAAACTCCAAGGTGGGATTTGCTATGAGCAACTGAGGAGCTCCTGATTGCTGAAGTTGTCCACCTAGAGTATTTCTGTTGGGAGTGGCACAAAACAATGTTCTGGGAGGTTCGTACTCTTTCTCAGGTGCTTAGAGTTCTGATGCTATGATTGGCTAGTTTGGCCACTCTGCTAGGCTCAAAAGGAGGCCTCCTAGAGGCAGAAGTCTCTCTCTGCTGGTTGAGGAAGACGTGCTGCTGAAAGAGACATGCGCTCCTGAAAGAGACACGTGCTGCTGAGAAAGAGACGCAAGAGACACACATTGCTGAGACACCGAGGGACATGCACTGCTGGGGGAGAGATTGTGAGAGACTTGGCTGAGAGATGGTGGGCTGGGAGAGAGACTGAGCATTTTTTCCTGAACTTGAATTGTAGCCTGATGCTTCCCTAAAAAACCCCATAATCTGTGAGTTCTGTGTGGCCACTGCAGTGAATTATCGAACCCAGGAGAGAGGTGGTGGGTGCTTTGGGAGGAACGGTTGGTGTAAGGGCTGGAGGGAGGCAGCATGTCTGGCCTCGCAGGAATAGGCCTTGGGCTATTGATGGTGATTCTGTCTTTCTCTTGTGGGATTAGAGGAGGTCAGAACATGTGGCCTCCTTGCCCTTCTAGCAGGGCCAGATATTTAACCATGCCACGCCTCAGTATTCTTCACTAAAAAATGGAGTTAATAGCAATATCTACCTCAGAGAGTGTGTCTCAGATTTGACTGTTAACAGCCATCACCTGGAGTGCTTGCTAAACATACTGACTCCCAGGCTCCTTCCCTGGAAATTCTGATTCTGTATGTCTGGAGTGGAGCCAAGGGGATTCTTAATAGTAGACAGATTTTGGAAACACTGTAAAAATATATCCAGATGTTAGTTATAATTTCACTGACTTGATTTTAGGCCAATGCCTTGCAACAGAAAAAAAAAAAAAAAAAGGAAGGAGCCTGAGCTCCAAAATGCATGTTGCTTATTTTATTTTTCCTTTAATGCATGGAAGGATCCCAAAATCTACATAAAGCCACAGGTGTGTTTGAACCCCAAATTAATTCCCAGGCCATGCCCACAGATATAAAGTACAAATCCTCAGGAAAAATGTGGTGAGGAATACGATATTCTGTCAAAAAAGCACTTCTTCTTTTGGGAGTAAAGGCATCTAAATTCTTTCCCTACCATGCTACATACAGAAGATTATTCTCTTTGTTTTGATTTCTCTATGTGCAAAATGGAAAAGGTGACAGTTGCTCCAAAAAAGAAGGTATTCTAGAAATATTGTCCCGTTGGGGCCTTTGAGACAGGAGCAAAATAGCAAATGAGAGAAAAGCTACTGTACATATACCTCCAGGTTAAATTTCTTTGGGAAGTGGGAAAGGAGTCTTAAACTTATGTTATTCCAATGGTTTTCTCCCTTTCAGGTTTTGAATTTATCTGATCCAGAGTTGTCGGGGGTATGGCTAGTCTCAGGGATTCTAGCAACTACTCCAGCTAGCCAACACAGCATATCACAAATGACGTAGTCACACTGCCCCAAAACTACCAGTAGATGCCCTGGGTTCTTTGGATCTCTCCTGGAGTCTCAGTACCAAAAAATGCCACCACCACCAGTCTGCCCAGAAATCCACCAAAGAAACCAAGTTTGTTTTTCACTACAAATAATACAGTCTTCAGCCAAAATTTTTCAAGAAATTAATTTTTTTAAATTAGCCCTACTGACAACACCAAATGCTGATGAGGATGTGGAGCAACAGGATCTCTCAATCATTGCTGGTGGGAATGCAGAGTGGTACGGCCACTTTGGAATACAGCCTGACAGTTTCTTACAAAACTAAACATATGGCTCCCATTCAATTCAGCAATCATGCTCCTAGGTATTTACCCAAATGAATCAAAAACTTACATCCACACAAAAGCCTGCACACAAATGTTTATAGCAGCTTTATTAATAATTGCCAAAAATGGGAAGCAACCAAGATGTCTTTCAGTAGGTGAATGGCTAAAGAAACTGTGGTACATCCATACAGTGGAATCTTAGCCACTGATTAAAAAAAAAAAAAAAAAAAAAGCTAACTACCCATGGAAAGATATGAAGAAACCTTAAATGCATACTGCTAAGTGAAAGAAGCTAACATGGAAAGATATATACTGTATGATTCCAGCTATAAGACATTTTAGAAACGGCAAAATTACAGAGTCAGTGAAAAGATCAGTGGTTGCCAGGGGTTCAGGGGGAGGAGGAAGGGGTGAACAGGTAGAGCACAGGGCATTTTTAGGAAATGAAAGTATTCTGTATGGTACTCTATGGTGGACACATGACATTAAGCATCTGTCAAACCCATAGGACTATGTAACACAAAGAGTGAGCCTTAATGTAAACTATGGAACTTAGTTATTAATAATGTATAAATATTGCCTCTTCAATTTTAACCAACATACCAAGGAATGTAAAATGTTAATAGGAGAAATAATGTGAAAGAGGAGGAGGTCTATGGGAACTCTCTGTACTTTCTGCACAATTTTTTTGCAAACCTAAACTGCCCTAAAAAATAAAATCTAATAAAATTTTTCACATGAGCCCTAAAGACATATTTATAACTAGATCCTTAATTTAAAAATTCACAAAATCTTCCTTTAGCATAATTGGCATTTTATTTTTTGATTCAACAGTGTAGGGATTAAAATATCTAGATAAAGGGTTTTTTTTTTTTTACACTTCCTGAGTATCAGGAACTTTACTAAGCATTCATCATCTCAATCTTCAACTGGAAACTGAGCAAGACTGAGGAACCTGCCCAAGGTCACCCAGCCTGTGAATGATGGCACCAGGATTCTAACCCACATCCATCTGACACCACATCCATAACCATCACATGACCATTGGTCCTCTTCACACTGTCAGCATAAATACACTTTCCTCTGATCAACTTTCTACTTAGGAGAATGGATTTTTTTAATCTAATTAAAAAATGGATTAGCTTTATTATTGGGTGTTATGACAAGTGCTACAAAATAAACACAAATGATTATGAGATATGAGTTTTCCTACCATGTGTGGTGACCTTATTTTTGTTTCAGCCAGATTATAAACCTCAGGAGCCAAGAGTAAGTTCAAAACTCCTTTAATTCCAGACCATGAGATAATGACTCCCCATCTCCAACTATTTTTATAACTTGAATGCATGATAACAGGGCTCACTAACACCATAATAACCAATCTGTAGAAAGAGAAACATTAAAAAACATAAATCATACCTTATGTATGAATGTCATTCATGGTTGAAGCCATATTCTAAAAATTGAATTTCATATAAAAATTTTCAGGAAATAGAACACAATGCAGTTTATTGAGAAATTGTCCAAACTTTCTGGGACCAATCAGATCTACTGTCTGAATTTTGCATACAATACTCAAATGTTTTAAAAAAATAATGCTAGATTGAAAAGGCTGGTGGTTCAAACCCACCAGCCCTTCCTGGAAGGAAGGTTGGGCAATCTACTTTCGTAGTGATACTGCCTCGGAAACCCAAAGAGGGGTCGGTATGGTTCGGGTCCAACTCAATGGCACATAACAACAACAACAGATTGAGACTAGACAACTCCCTGAGACTATTGTCCTGAGTATTTTAGGACTTTTTAAACCTTGAACCAAAACTATTCCCTGAAGTCACCTTGCAGTGAAATAACAGATTGGCACACAAAATAAGGGATATTACTAGTGAGTATGTTGTTGCTGTTGTTATGTGCCATGGCGTCGGACTCAACTCATAGCGACCCCTCCTTGGGTTTCCGAGGCAGTATCTCTACTGAAGTAGATTGCCCTATCTTCCTTCCGAGGAGTATGCCATTAAAAAACCATCTATATGAGAGCGAAAGGTCAACAATGATTCTAATGCATAAATGAAAAGATAAGGAGGTAGGGAAAATAGAGCACTGGAAATGGAACAGCCAGAATGCAATTAAAATGTTGACGTATAAAAAAATGTAACTAATGTCATTGTATAAGAGCTCCGGTAGCATAGTGCCTAAGGCACTTGACTGCTAACCAGAAGGCTGGCGTTCAAACCCACCAGCCACTCCTCGGAAGGAAGGTTGGGCAATCTACTTCCATAGTGATACTGCCTCGGCAACCCAAGGAGGGGTTGCTATGAGTCAGGTCCGACTCGACGGCACATAACAATAACAACAATGTCATTGTATAGAAATTGTCAAATGGGACCCTTATTTGCTGTTTATACTTTCTCTGAAAGCATAAGAAAATAAATTATTTTAAATATAGTGCTAGAAGATCTACACAGATACAATGAATTATCACTAACACTGTATGTGCTGTTTGGATTTTCATGGTAAATTCTTGGAGTGATGGGAATTCTTTAAACAAAATTGACAAACTCATCTACTGCCCGTAAGGTCATGTGGTGGTTATGTTTTTGTGTCAACTTGGCTGGGCCTGGTTGAGAGGCTGGGCAGCTGGTGGTAGTTATTTCCCATGATGAGACTGGCAATCGGTTCCATGGTGGGATCTACCACAAGCAGCTGAATAGTTGTTTTGGGTAGGTCTGCTTCCCATATATAAAAAGCAGCTTCGGGAATGGTCTCTAGACTATGGCACGCTTGGACCCTGCATGTAGCCATGTCATTCGTTGCTCAGCAGCCTGCTATGCTCTGCCAACCTTGGGACTTACAATGGATTTAAGTTAATGGTCTGACATGTGATTTGGTAACATCAGGACTGTACCTTTTTACTTGTCAACTTGGGGCTTCTCAGCCTCAGAAGCCAGCAGCTGTCTGAGTGAAGAAGCGCCTCTAGCTCCAGTGGGCCGGGAGCAGGAGGCAGAGCTGGACCCCAAGGTTGAGGGGCTTTCACCCAGCCCCTAGAGCCTGGCACTTTGAACTTGGACTTAAAGCTTCCAAATTGTAAGAATAAACTCCTGTTTGTTAAGGCCATCCCATTTGTGGTACATTTCTTGTCAGAGCGGCACTAGGTAACCAGAACAAGTCACATTGTTTATTTTACAAGATAGTGTGGGAACTGAAAGGTGACCTCTGGGAGTGGTTTCAGTTCCCAGTTTAAAGTGTTTCTCATGGCAACAGTCTCAGAGTTCCTCTAGTTTCTACCAGTCCAGTAAATCTGGCTTATTTTGAGAATTTTAGTTTTGTTCTACATTTTCCTCCTATTCTATCTAAGACAATCTATTGTGTCAGAATGGTGAGTAGTAACCAGATACCGTCTAGTTCTTCTAGTCTCAGGATAGATGAGGCTGTGGTTTGTGTGGGCTATTACTGATCCTGTAGAGTAGTTCCTTCTTTAAATCTTTGGTTAATTTTTTTTCTCTTTTACTTCAGATGAAAAGAGCCAATAGTTGTATCTCTTGCAAGTATTTAAGACCCCAGACATCCCCAGACACTACTCACCAAACTAGGGTGTAGAACATTAACTTTATGAACCCCTCTTATAGTGGATATTGTGATACTCCATCCAGGCACCCACTTTAGAGCTGACATAACCATCCATCAACTGGTAGGAAGTTAAATCCTTAGGTGAACCCTCACAGCTCTGTCCCTCACTGGGCACTGCCCCACTAAAAGTAGGCTAATGACTGCTTGATACAGGAATACAAAGACCTTGTCCCCTTGTCTCATTATGGGACAACTCTGAAGGGCAACTGAGCTCCACCCCTCCCCCCTTGTCATCAAATGGATTCCAATTCATAGCAACTCTATAAAACAGAGTAGAACTGCCACAGAGGATTTTCAAGGGTGTAAATCATTACAGAAGTTGAATGCCTCATCTTTCTCCCATGAGGTGGCTGGTGGGTTCAAACAGCCTAACAGTCCAATGCTTTAACCACAGTACCACTAGAGCTCCTGATGAGATCCACAGCTCCCCTTAAATCATCTGAAGTCTTAGTTAAAACTGCACCGTGGGCCAGCTTTCTCCTCTGCCTAATCGTGCCTTCCTCATTTGCCTAATAAACCTGCCAACAACTCTCCCAACTCTCATAATCAGTCTGTTTCCAGGAAACTCAAGCTATGACTCTTGAATATGTAAATCTGACAGTGGGTAGGCATTGTATAGATTCCTTTGTTCTCTCTCCCCACTAGCTATGAAGTCCATTACTTGAGATTCCCTTATGAAGGTTATCTTTCCTTATATTACAATCTGTTGCTTATTTGCCTTATCTCTCTAACTAGATTATAAACTTCTTGAGGAGAGGAACTGTGTTTTACTCAACCCTTGAGACTTCAAACAGCAAGCTTTGTTCTGTTCACACAGCCACTCCTTTTCAGAAGAAGAGACATGGGTTACTGTTTGCCTGGGATGGAGGTGGGGGTGTGGGGTGTCACCAGAAACCAGAAAACAAAACAAAACAAAACAAAACCCTATTCTTTGACTTCTAAGTTGAAAGAAGCATTTATCTTTTAAGGCAAGAAATATAGCAGGTGTGCATAGCTATATAGTCCAGAAACTTGAAAGCAGAACAGGCTGAATCAGTATCTCCCATCTCCAGACTAACAATTCCTAGGAGGAGAGTGTCTCTATGTCCCCCTCAGTATGGGGACCAGAGAGAAGACAGCAGGGGACAGTCCCTAATTGTAAGCAGAGGTGTCTGACATGCTTTTTTTCCCAACTAAAGTGAAAAGTTGAAGAATTCCTGTAGGTCCTAAGTCAGAGACTCACAGAATATCTGATAAAGCAGGTCTGCATACTTTCTAGAGACCAGCACAGTAGGGGAAGCTTGTAGAGTAATTAGCAGTCTTCCTGATAACTGAAGTATGGATGGGAAGTCTGACAGTCTCTCAGGGTCATCATCAACTTGAGGGAGTTGTACGGAGCAGTCCTTACCAGCCCATGTGTCCAAGGAACACCCTTCAAGGACATCAGCAACTAGTGCCAGAACAGAACTGGCTAGATATGGTCCATAGTCCCTTCCATTGCCACCACAATTGGCCAATCACAAACAAGATCATCTACTCCACTGCTTATACTCATTCCAACAAGAACTGATCAGTCACATAGAGATCTTCTCCCACTGTTTTAATGTCAACCCAGAGGTTGAAAAGAAAAGTCGGAGGTGTTTGTTTTTAAGTATAAAAGAAAAAAGAAAAAAAAGTACTGCTGTCAGGTGGATTCGACTCATAGCGACCCCTCTTTGGGTTTCTGAGGCAGTACCTCTACGGAAGTAGATTGCCTGATCTTTCTTCTGAGGAATGGCGGGTAGGTTTGAACTGCCAGCCATCTGGTTAGCAGTCAAATGCCTTAGGCACTATGCCACCAGAGTACTAGGCTCTAATTAATTTAGTAATCCATGTAGAGTAAGTCCACCAGGGTCAGGCTTACAGTGATATAATAAAGATGGTTCTAATTTTTTCAGCACTAAGATCTGTTATAACAGGTATTAAATTACCTATACAACCATATAAGGAAAAAATTTATTCAGATCATATATATCACTGCCCAAGTCAGAAACTATCCCATGTGCTCAATGGCTATTGAAGAAAAATCAGAGTTCCCTAGAAATGTTGACTTTAACAGCAAAAAAGTCAAATAAATCTCTGTTAAGCTGAAAATCCACTATACTTTTCTTTTTCTAATTTTTTAACTTACCACTGGGAAATCTTGAAGTCTGAATATTTTTAAAATATCTTCTAATGAATTTCAAAATTTTATTTTTCTGATTTTTAAAAATGTAGATAACCTCACAAATTCAAAGCTTTCACTCTGCCTTCAAAGGCCATGAGTTTTAAATGCCCTTTCACTTTTTTTCACATAGTGGAGTGTATTAACAGATAATGTTGTTGTAGTTCTTAGGTGACATCGAGTAGGACCCAATTCACAGTGACTTCATGTAGAATAGAATGCAACCCTGCCTGGTCCTGAACCATCCTCATCAAGCTTGCTATGCTTCAGCCCATCATTGAAGCCACTGTCTCAATCTGTCTTATTGAGGGTCTTTCCCTTTTTCACTGACACTCCACTTTACTAAGATTTGTCCCTTATGACAATATGCATATTTTGAGCAACTTCCAACCTGAGGGGCTCATCTTCTGGCACTATATCAGAAAATGTTTCATAGCTGTTCATAAGGTTCTCAGTGGCCAATTTTTTCAGAAGTAGATGGCCCAGTCCTTCTTCCTAATCCATCTTAGTCTGGAAGTGCTGCTGAAACATGTCCACCATGAATGACCCTGCTGGTATTTGGAAAAACTGGTGGAA